AGAGCGTCGGTTGCCTAATACATATGTTGCTTAAAGAGGTCACTGCTACCAGAGCAGTGTTCGGTCGCTGTTTTTTTCATCAGCACGCTGTCGGTTTTCCCATATAAGTTATTGCTGGCGCTTCTTGGCCTCTCATTGGTCGAATGAATAGACCACGTGAATTCGACCAATGAGGAGCCGAGAAACAGCAGCATGCTCGCAGCCTGCTGATAAAAAACTGCGACCGAACAGCGCCCAGGTCAGGTCACAGTTCAGGTCACTAACGGTCAAAATATGGACCAAACTATACTAGGGCCGTGTGATACATGTCTTTTAGCCAAAATTACATTTCCAATTCAATGGTGCAGGTGCTGGTTAGACGACCATTGGGGACGGTTTACATAGGTTACCTAGGTTCTGGTGGAGGTCAGGTCAAGGTCAGCCGTCAGGTAAAAAAGAACAAATTTCAAAGCTGTAACTTTGCATAAAATTGGTATCGTTTCGATGCAGCTCATCACAGGGAATCTAATGGTGGTCTTAGTTACGGAGCGAGCGGAGTCTTTCCTTAGATTAACGGAAATTCCTGAGTATGAGCGGCCGGCCGGCCGTGCGGACGCTTTTGCGAGGCTTATATCTCAGCTCGACCGATTTACATGCGGTAATTTTTGTAGGGTAGCTTCATTCCTTCTACCAAGTACTTGACTATTCCTGATGCATGTGGGTGACCCCTTATGCACGTGCCATGTGCAAAACGAAGAGGTGTCAGTTTTATAATTGTTGCAATATCCCGGTAACTACTTGGCCGACTGCGCTGAAAGTTGGCATGTAGGTAGGCACCCACTAGGCACTGCATATCCATGTGCCAGAGTTGGGGTGCTGCTGCACGTGCGCACGTGCAGGGGTCGTTTCCAGATCTCGAGAACGGCTCGACCGATTGCGCTCAAATTTGGCACACAGTTAGGGACCGGTTAGTAGGGTGCCGTGCACAAGTCAGTTGGAGGTACCCCCTCGCAATTTCGCACGTGCAAGGCCCACCCTCTCGCTCGCTCCGTTAGTCGCCCCAAAAGGCGTTATACTGGTGTTATAGTCTGTTTTTCGTATCTTCTACCTTCACTCAAAGATGTTTTGCGTCTCCAGCACGTTTTTAGGGTATAGTTTTCAAATCTTGACCGCATGGTCCACCACTCATTGCAAGAGTTTGTTGCTCGTGTTGGAGTTCGCCTTCGCTGCGCAGATAAAATCGGAAAAGAAACCTTTAAAGGGACTATCCCACCTTTAACATGGGGTTTGAGTTGAGATAGCCAAGTTTGCGGCGAGGTTCAGAAACCACTATCTATCTAGGTTGCAACCCCCGCGGCCTCTTGGTGTTGAAGAAATTCGTTCCCTTCATTTGAAAATGGGCCTTGTACAAGGGCCTATCTTCAACATGGAGCGACCGTTAGTGTGACGTCACCTCGTTTAGTCATTCTGATTTAAATGGGTTTGTTCGTTGAAAAATCGCTTAAAACTTGGTCTGAACTTTGTTGTGGTGCCTACAGAGTAAAAAGAATCAGCTTTATGACAGTAATGTGGCCTGGGGAAGGAGGTAATTTTGGGCTGTGACGTCACATATTTGAAAGTTTGTGTTTGGAATATGGGAAGCCTAAGATGTTTAATGAAAAATAAATGCCAGAACCGTGTTCCTGGTCATCCAATCTATAAAGTCGGGCACAATTTAACTGGTTTTAACAACATTTTAGAAGGTGGGATAGTCCCTTTAAGCTAGAGTATCGCTTGTATTATCGTTATTCGTTACCACGGTTTATTGGTACTGACTACCGACCTATACACAAGGACGTTTTGCTGTTCATAGGTACTTGCATTGTACGAAGCGCTCTTGCTAAGAATATTTAAAGAAAAGTTTAAAGCTTGCACTTCCTTTTCATTGGGTAAAAGAAGTTAAATGTGTTTTATGTTCTGCCATATTTTTTTTCAAATGCTTTATTTATGTTTTGCTTTATTTATGTTGCGATAACTTTTACACCGACGAATAACAAAATTGTCTTAGCCCACGCCCGCTTGGGGGTCCCCAGGCAGATTTGCTTCATCTTAGTTTTCCTATCTGCCTCACGCGATCATCCCGAAAAGTAAGAAAGATGCGAAGACGCGGGAAAGAATCGATAGCTCTCTCAACAATTACTTTCAGCAGTATACGTAATACGTATATAGTATATACCGCATTTTGTTGAGGTTAATAGTGATGGCCACTGAAGGTCATAAATTTAAAAAACTCCCGAGCTCAACATGTTTGGACAAATCTGGCCAAATCTTGTCAACCGATTGAATTACAGCGCCGTCCAGCGCCGTCGAAACATTTTTTGTTCTAGCAGCTATTAGGGGTATTGTCGAAAGCTGCTGGTGATCTTTATCATCTGACATGACTTTTTGACCACTGGCAATCACCAACGCCTTAGGGCTTATATTATGATACACAAATGCAGGTAATAACAACAACAAGCAGGTAATAATAACACCCACGTATGCATTTTTCGTATTATATTGCGCTGAAAGCATGGCGGAGTTGAACTGTGCCACCACCGTCGGTGTCTCTCCGCGCCTCCAACACTTTTCTTTCTGGTATCCAAGGAAGGAAGTTCGTTATTCTGGCGATATTCATTGGTTGTGCTCCTTCTTTACCGCCTTATTTCAGTCACCTAACCCACATTTCTTTTGCTTTTAAACGTTGAAAGAAAACGTTATGATCATTTTGTCTTGTCTGAGACCAAGGCCATTGCCCTTCTGTTGTTTGAAAACATAATGAAATTAGAAAGGGATAATTTTGCCTGAATGAAAATATGATGACACGTTTTATGCAAATGCATTTCACCTGACAAAGAACATTGCATTTTGATTAACGAGATAGGCCAAGGGGACAGACGTTCGATCTTGCGTTCGTGATAAAAATTGACTTTGCAGCGGTGTTGATTTAATTAGATGTTCGCTGGTCGCTGGAGCACGTGATTAGAGAGTTTACCGTCTTTGAGTGAAGGTAGAAGATACGAAAAACAGACTATAGTTTCATTCTACGTGTTTTACAACAGCTAAAAATTTAGTTATGAAGTTATGAAGCTGAAATTTTGCATGTCGATATCAGACAAATAGTTCTATAGGATAAATTCCAGTTTTTTAAATCTTGTTATTTTTAGGGTATTATTTCAAAAAATCAATTTTTCTTTTAAATAATAGGGTCAAAATAAGTTTTAAAAATCTGAGGTACCAGTTTTGTAGCCCAGTTCATTTTCCAGCTTTTTGGTACCTACCTACTGAACATTTTTCTCCATCTTTAAATAGTAGGCATGGAAGCTTTTCCTGCCAAACAATTTTTTGTCAAAAATGCCTGAACACAACCTCACTCTGATGTCATTTGTGGCAAACATATCATAGGCTCTGGAAAAATGCTTGGTGACAAGGTGTAAAAATGATGTACAAGAGGGCAATGGAAAGTTTTGCAATGATCGGCACATTAGTTTTAAAGATAATTATCTTTAAAACTTTCCATGCTTCTTTAAACGTTCCATGCTTCTATCCTCAGGAAACTGAAATCCTTCTCCTCCACGCCGCAACCCCCCTCCGGGCTGGACAGGCAACTTTATCTCATGCGGGCTGCTCCCTTGGAGCGGCACCGCTGCTCCTGAGGGAGCGCACCCCGTAGCCGGGTGCAGTGAGTGCCTTGGGGCTGGGTGGCCTGTCCTCTGGACGGGCTCAGCCCCGGCGACTCACTAGGGTGCCTGCCCAGACCAATGTCTCCCCCTAATTCCTATCATCCTTCCGGCTCTGCAATGGTCTTGTCGACCGAAAGGGCCTAACCCAACAAAACAAAAAACAAAAAACAAAATGAGACTCGTTCTTCACACCGCGTGTGTTACTGAGGTTTGTTTGAAAGATCTTCCTCGAACAAGGTGTATGTATGTGTGTGTGTGTTTGTGCGAGTGTGTGTATATGGGTGAATGCATTTTATCTGTGCTTTTTGAATAAAGACAGACGGTGTTTTATGACGTTTTGTTTCCTTTTTATTGTGTCCTGATCACTGGGCTTACCAAACAAATAAAATACGCCACCTTCAAAGAACACAATGCTGTGTTAGGTCACTGACCTAATGTGACCTTGACCCGGCCCATACCTACTCAAAAACACCACCAATGTATTCTCCGTGAAGTAAGCTTTCATATGACACCCATATTGCCTATGATTCTCGACGTTCTCGGCAGATGTCATTTTCATGTCAGGTCATGACCACATTGTTGACCTCAGTTTGAGGTCAACGGGTCCGATATACCAACCAAATCACATACCACTATTAAGAGCATGGATAAGACATCTCTGATAGAAAAAATCAGAATTTTTAAAATAGGACAAATTTGAAAGGTCACGGGGTCAAGAAAAGGTCACGAGGTCAAAGGGTCAAAAAATGACCCTGGGATTTCGTTCACATTTTTGCTAGACGCACCAGCCTTTGCGCTTCTTATTTCATATATAACTTTTTTTGATCCGGTGAACCGTTGCAGAGATAAAAAATACTTTATATTTCAATGTTCCGGAAAACCTAAAAATTTGCATGACCCATATCTCATGACCCCTGTGACCTAGAGACTAAAAATTTACTGGGACGAAGAAGTGCCCATAGGTCAACTTACATGCCAAATTTGAGCAAAATCGGAGAGGTCATGGTGAACAATTGGGAAAAAATTAGGTGATTTGTGGTGGAATTGCCCATATGCAAAAAGAACTGGAGTGGGGTAAAAACAAATTGCCCCCACCCCCAACCAGGGCACAGGTTATAAGGTCTTATGATGCTCAATTATAGTGTTGGTTTCAAAACACACACTCTGGAAAGATGTCAAAAATATTACCAAAGCTATATCAATGATGCCTATCAGTAAACAGCAAAGCCTGTGAACTGTGCCTACTAATCAAATAGGTACATTAAGAGTAGGTAGGTACAGTCATTCAGGCATTGCCCATTGCCCTATCTGCATCCTTACCTTGGATCAATCTCCCTCATTTCAATCTCTGATAACCTGCTTTCAACCATATCATGAAGGAACATGGCATTGAAGTATGGAATGTTGGCAGCAAGAACAAGCTTGTGAGCAGTGAAAGACTGGCCATCCACCTGAAATAAACAACACAATCACAGGAAACAGCTGTCAGTATATGTGAAGATGAAAGCTGAGTGGTATGTAGGTTTTGTATGTTGTAGGTTGGTACCTAGGTAGTAGGATAGTAGGTTGAAGGTTAATTATAGGTTGATGGTTAGTAGGTTACTAGATACTGGTAAAGTAAGAGTGGATTATATGTTTTATCTACTCTGACTTTATCTTCACATTTACCACCTACTACCCAGCCGCAAACACTGCACAGCTGACATCCACGTGTGATTTGTGACTTTATGTTGCCAAAACTTCAGTGGTCATTGGTGCGGACGCCCGTGAGAACAGGGCGCCGGAGCACAGAGGGCATATTGAGTCACGTGACTATTAAGAACTTCCCCCTCTCAATGCCTTCTACATACTGGATGTCACCTGGTTTAGGTGAAAGAATTTCAAGAGCCTTGATCAAATCGCCCCAGGCGCTCTGTTTTCACCGTCGCCCATTGGCACCTACCTACCTACAATCAGAATCATGACTCAAGACCATGTAACATATTTCTCAATTCAGGCAATATTTTACCAGACATATCACCCTATGTTATAGGACAACCCTTGACGGAGACTCGCAGGTGACGTCAGCATTACTGTTGCCAATGCCCAATGCGTTTCGTTTCTATGCATAGAAAGAAATAAAAAAAACATGAAAAATGCACTTTACATTCCCCTACAACCTATAAGAAAGCTCTGATCAGATTTTTTATTGTAAAACATTTCTAAAAAAGTCAAAGCATGCACACCCAATGCACTCAATAGGTAGGTTAATACCTAGGTAGGTACCAACTTTATGGATCATGGTCCGCAGGTGTTCATATGATAGTTAAGCTTGCTTAGCTTAACCATTCAGTGTATTGATAAATCCAACCTTCATAATAACTCACCTTGAGAGTAACATCACAGAGTTTTCCTTCCCGTCGTATCTCTTGCATGACAGGAAAGCCTTTTTCAAAAAGATCTTCCTGAGTGAATATCGTATGGTCCCTGCATCCCGCCATTACTTGTCAAGCAAATAATACCAGGGCGATAGTGTTTGACAATGTTTATAGAAATGAAAACGATGCCTAGCTAGTTGAAACCGTTGAAACTTTGCCAATTCATAGAACGAAGCCCTGCCGGGCTCTGGTATTAACTGGATAATTCGCCAGCTGACGCCGTATGGTGGCGCTAGTGAAGCAGCACCATATGACGTCAGCAGAAAACACCGTGAGCAGCTATGAAATGGGGGAGAGCACCACGGAAATATCGAAAGGTGATGGACATGTACTGACTTTGGTCATTCAAGTACCACCAACAGCATACAAAAACCATATTATATCATCAAGACTGATTCTGGAATCGATTTGTTCGGGTATTTAAAACACATTAAAAATGTTTGTTACCAAATTATGAAACAGAATAAGGATATTCTTGTTCCTTACTTTTACCTTGTGGAGTACTTTTACAATACCTTTTACTTGCTTTCTAGTATGCCCATCACTATCTCAGAATCTGGATTGCAACGCTGTAGGAAAACTTTTTCATTTGTCATTTCTTCCACTTTTGAGCAGTGATAATTTATTTGGTTTTATACATTAAATAATGAAGACGGCTCCTAACTTTTTAGGGTTCTGCAGTGGCTCAGAGAGCAAAATCAGATATTTCCTAGAAACTTGAGGCCACTATTTTCTTATAAGATAGATAATATACAAATATTGACATGTAAATAATGATACGGGTGTATAATTCTGCAGAAATATTAATTCAAAGTATTTATAAATTTTCAAGAACCTTTCTAAAATATTCAATAATGACTTCTTTCAATACAAGGTGGAAGCAATTTCAGTTAAATAAAGCAGTACAAGGCAGTACCTTGAGCTGCGATGATCCATAAGTCATAACCAATCGGCACCTGCAATTTGATCTTCGAGATGTTGTACCCTGCCTCTGTTCCCTGACTTTCCCTTTTCGTTGTGCCGGGTGAAGTGAATATTCTGTGAATATTCTTCTGACAGTCAGTTTTTAGTCCTACATTATGTTGTCAATCAGATTTAATTAGTTCAAAAACCGTCGTAGTCCGTCTCATTCGCAGTCTACATCTCTACATGCGCACCCATACATGCTCAAAATTTTCACTACATATGTACTATGTACCCTGCAGCGTACCCTGATGAAAATTTTTTGTTGAAATCAGAGACACTTCCCAAGGTAGGCCATAGTCCATGGCCATGTATTTAAGTCAAAACAGATGAAACAGATAAACACAATTCCAATCATCAAGTCAACCAGCATCGACAATCTGCACATAAGTTCTAAACCTATTGCAAGACTACTTTGTATTCAAGCGTTGTATTGCAGAAAGGTGGAAGCTGCATGGAATTATGCGACAATTTCAGCGTGCATCCACGCTCGAAAGAGCAGGGTTGATTGTAACAATACCATAATAATAACGTAATTGTAGGTGTTGTGATTCGGTTGTCTCTTGTCTGTGCTGGCCATTGCGCGGGCGGTCCAGCGGCGGAACTCGGCTTCGCCGCCGTGGCGCGCTGGCAGTTGCTCCAGGTGGCGCTCGGCACACCTCGCCAGATGGCGAGCCGGTCTCGAGACTCGAGGTCGCGGGTTGCAGACACTTTGTCAAGGCGGCGGTTCACGGCCCCGAGCTGCAGGGCGCTGCGCTGCCATGCACTGCTGCATTGGTGTGGCGTTTGAGAGGAATTCGTCTCGACGTTCCAGCGTTGCGAATGTGCGAGTTTGTTGATGTTTCCATGGAGACCCAATACACCGCTGCGCGCAGCGCGCTGCAGCACAGTGCCGTGAAACACCGTGTGTCGCCACGGTCGGCCGCTGGCGCAAGATGTCATCTGACAGCCGGCGAGGAACGACCTGTGGAGTGAGCCGTAGCTGCTTATGACGGACCACACAGAAGAACGCCTCACACTCCCGACAGGACAGTCCCCTGAAGTTCCTCATCACCGAGCTGAGGGAGGGACGACTCGTAGTGTCTCAGTCAGGCAGAAGGTATTCCTGCATGCGGGCCGGATGCACCGAGCTTAGGGCCAGAGTCTCCAGTGGCTCCCCTGACCCCTAGCTGGTTTATGAAGTCCAGTTCGGCCACGGTGACTGGAAACAGGTCTGGAGGGACTTGTGGGCGGCCCCCAGGGCCGCAACGTCGCTGCTCGGCACTTCCTCCATGCTGGGGTTGATGGATTCCAGCAGGCAATGCCGAGTGCCCATCAGGAACGAGCAGCGCAGGAGAATATGCTACGGGGTGTCCTCCTCCCAACAGACGGGGCAGAATGCAGCTCTGCAGTGATGGTCAACACACTGATTGCACCCGGCTAGCCGAGAGGGCGCCAGCCTGACTGCAGCGCTACTGGGTAGAGCCGGTCCAGTTGCTGGCTGATGGCTGATAGCTGGTGGACATTCACAGTCGCTGATTGGTTGCCGCAAGTGGGAGTCTGCCACCTGTCAGCAGTCAGAACCAACTGGCTGGCCAGGCCTGGATGGTGCAGGCACTTGTTGCTGTTGGCAGCTTGGTGGCTTACTGTATGTCAATAAAGACTTGTACTTGGATGAGGTTACTCCTTTCCTTGGCAACAGAGTCCATTCTCCTGTTTCCCTCCAGGCCACAGGGGTGAGGGTAAGCTGGAGCACGCAAGCAAGCTAGGAGTGCACTCCGAACCTGTAACACAATAGAATTGCAATTGTAACAAAGACCTGCATGGTCAGCACACATCTGCAGTGACTGTCATCCCAAGTTGGTATGAATTGGAACAAAGTTGGGTCATGGTAGCAGACGTAGCACAAGCTGTCGTGATATGCCATACCGTAGGACTAGGTCGTAGGTTGTAAATTTTAGGTTTAAGGCTGTAGGTTGTAGGTCAGGTTAGGTAAGGTTTGGTTAGAAAGACCCATTCTCGTTGTAACGAATTAAATCACACTCTGTATTGAAACCCATGTTGAAAAGAGAATACTTCAAGCATCCATTTCAGCCAAAAAAAGAACAAAACGTCCGATCAAGAACTTCAGACTTCAGAATCACCCGAAAACTAGCCGACAACAACAATAAGGCGCAAAATACCAGCCTTGACAAAGGTCACGTGGCTCACCACGACCGCACCTCCCAACGCGGCAAAAACACTCAACTCCAATTCGCACATCCGTGACATCAATTAAATGCAACACAACAAAACGACGCAGATCTAATAGCGAGTCACAATTAAATTCACAACACTCGTGCATAGGGCAGCTTGTGCTATGTCTACCTTACCAATACCCAATTTGAATTCCCGAAATTGATGGCAAACAGGCTTTTTGTATAACAAGTGTGGTTAATTGTTCTAATCCCCGCTGCAATGTGAGGGTAACTGCTTTTCTACAATCACAATAATTGAAATCATATAGGTAGGTGTTTCATGTTCAGAAAATGATACAAAATATGACACAATTATAGCTGCAACTGGATAGTGGATACCAACCTCAACTAAAAGTTTCTGCAGCCTTATAACCTAACACATGACTAAATTGCCAAAATAAATCCCTTAGTACAATAGCTTGACTCTAAAATAACAGAACTTTTGCATGCAGACTCTGGAAACTGGAGGGTTTATGAAAAGAAACAAAAATAAACATTCACTAATATCAATATGTTGTTATAAATTTAATATGTAGCATAAGCGCCAATACTGCCTTCATTTACAATTTTGCTACTGTTTCCCACTCACAAACGCTGCCGTCCGTGGACAGCAGCAGCAGCAGTGAAACGTCACCCGTGGTGTGACATCATCACCCATGACGTAATGGAAATCCAGTTGTTACCAAGGCCCGCCCTGCCTGGCGCCTGCCTAGTGATCTCGCACAAGGTATCCAAGGTACGCAAAGTATTTGTTTTTCGAGCATTATAGAGTCAGTGTTTTCGAGTTATCTTCAAATGCCCTATCTGCGTCATTTTCGTCTAAGCAGCCAGCGTTTTTCTTTAAAGGAAATAGTTCACTTTCACGAAATTTTTTTTTTTTTTGCAATGGATTTATGATTTTTTATGTTCAAAATGATCAGCAAAGAAAATAAAACCTTTTTATAACAAAAGATTATTTTCTATATTTTTGATATAGGAAGAACTTTTCAGTTTCTGTAAGGCACACGCGATCCAGTATGAAAAGAGCATGGGTCCCGAAAATTCTTCAGAAGCTAGAGAAATTATCGCGGCCACCGGCATTTGGGCGATCTGCTCATGCTTTTGTTACTGGAGCGCCTCTTTCCCCGAGATTGCGCCGGCCGCCTGCCATGGACGAAAAATACACGACTTTGAAATCCGGCTGATCGTGGGAAAATACCGCCGGAGGTCTCGGTCGGCTATATGCAGGAATTCACCGGGATGTATAGCATGGGTGAAACTTTGACATCACCATTGGGGTCCCAAACGTCCAAGGGGGCCTCCATTTAGTGGGGGCCTCCAAGCAATTAGGGGCCTCCAATTGCGGAAGCGGTAATTTATGAGCCACGCCAGGGCCTCCTCTAAGAAATTTTCATTGGGGGACCAGAGGCTCAGAAGCCAAACATGGGGTACCCCCAAATCCAGTTTTCTCATCGGATTTAGGCCACTTATTTTTCGTCACAGCTCTAATGCCATGATTTTTTTTTAATATCGATAAAGAAATGGTAGGTCACCTGACCCTACTGGTGGATCCAGGCCAGCAGGGTGACATTGTATGTAAATATCCCCCGCGGCATCCGAAATCGACGAAAATTTCTGGCTTTTTCACTTTTGACAATAAAACACAATGCCTTTATAATAGAAAAAAAATTAACGGCACAGCATTGCGCAAGGAATCTAGCCGTAAGCCGACCCCAGAAAGTGTGAGGGTTAACCTTCGCCGGCACCTGGGGGGAGGGTCGCCACCCCCAAGTTAGTTTTTCTGCTCTACACTTAACATTTTTAAAGCTAGAAACCTGATTTTCTTTGTATAGCTGCTTTTCTATCTTTTCTCAGCGTCCATTGAAAATTTCAAGCTTCTGCGGCATTTGGGTTTGGAGATATGACCTTGTTCTTCAGGTCATGTCATGTCCTAAATGACGAATACCCAATATCTTGCGATGGCTATGGGCCTTGTGAGCTTTTGACACGCTGATTTCGGCTTTTTTTGCCAGTCTTACCTCCCACCTATCATTGAACATGTTGTTCTGCGATGTACAGATGTCAGAGTCAGGGTCAAGGTCAACCTAGGTCATCTAAAATTATTGCGCTTTAGGCAAGCTGAATTTACTTTTCGTGAAGTTTCTTTGACTGTATGTTTAGTAAAAGCTTCTCAGTTCATGATCAAGTGTAATAGGGACACACAAACCGATCTGTGCACACATCAGTACATACACAGACATACACAGACATACAAACACATATCATTGACCTTGACCTAACTTGACGTGAAATGACCACAGCCAGCAAATTAGTCGGATAGTGTGACAAAGAGCTGTTCTAGCTCGCTTGGCACTAATACGGCAGCGTCATCGGTATATGATGGGTTGGCCCGCTGCTTGTGTAGGTATCTTATTCGACATCACCACAATTTTTTCTTACAAGATTTTAAGCCTTGCGGTCAAGAGCAACAGATTCTTTGGGAAGTGACGAATCCAATGATACCAATTTTACCTCATCAGGTCAGTCATTGACCTTCCAGGTCAGGTCAAACTAAAGAATGTTGCTGTTTGGGGTCACCGTTGCCCGTTGGAATATCACGTGCGCTGCTCATCATGTACCGATGACGCTGCCGTATTGTGGTGCCAAGCCAGCTAGAACCTCTTTGTCACACTATCCGACTAGGTTTTTGCTGGCTGTGGTCATTTCAGGTCAAGTTAGCTCAAGGTCAATGACATGTGTTTGTATGTCTGTGTGTGTCTGTGTGTACGAGTATACTGATGTGTGCACCGACTGTGAATGTGTCCATATTACATGAGATCATGAACTGAGAAGCTTTTGCCAAAAATACAGTCAAAGAAACTTCACGAAAGTAAATTCAGCTTGCCTAAAACGCAATATTTTTAGACGACCTAGGTTGACCTTGACCCTGACCCTGGCATCTCTACATCATTGAACAACATGTTCCATGATAGGTGGGAGGTAAGACTGACAAAAAAGGCCGAAATCAAGGTGTCAAAAGCTCACAAGACCCAACGCCAACGCAAGATATTGGGTATTTGTCATTTGGGTTATGACATTACCTGAAGAATAAGGTCATATCTCCGAAACCAAAAACCACAGAAACTTGAAATTTTCAGTGGACGCTAAAAAAGGATAGAGCAGCAGCTATACGAAATATCCGACTTCTAGCAATCAAAATGTTTAGTGCAGAGCAGAAAAAAACTACCTAGGTCGGGGTGGGGGGTGTGGCAACCACTGCCCCCCCCCCCCATGTGCGGACGAGGATTACAAGTAATTTGAATATCAGGAAAATAATTTATTAAATCAGGTATTCCAACAGAGTCCCGCTTTTTTATAGGTGACCTCCGATTTGTGTTGCATCTAAGTTACCCAGGGGGCCTCTTATTTGTAATTGTAGGTACAGTACAGAGAGCCTCCTACTTCGACTACTTGCACAGAGAGCCTCCTAGCGTACATACGGCTAAGCTTCTACAGGTCGAGCGCCGGTCTCTTGTACGTACAGAGAGCCTCCTACTGTTACAGAGGGCCTCCTGTTTGTCTAGGGGGCCTCCTATTGGTTAACGGCGCCTCCTATTTGTCCAAGCGGCCTCCTATTCGTCTATGGGACCTCCTATTTGTCCAGGAGGCCTCCTGTTTCTCCAGAAGGTCCCCTATTTATCCAGGGGGCTTCTATTTTCCAGGGGGCCTCCTCTTTATCTAGGGGGCCTCCTACGTGTTCAGAGGCCTCCTATTTGTCCAGGGGCCTCCTATTTATCCAGGGGTCTTTTATTCGACTAGAAGTCTAATATTTGTGCAGGGGCCTCCTATTTGTCCAAGGGTCTCCTACTTGTCCCGGGGCCTCCTTTTTTTGAAGGGACTCCTTTTTGTTAAGGGAGCCTTCTATTTGTCCAGGGGGCCTCCTATTCGTACAGAGAGCCTCTAGCTCCTACTTGTCCATGGAGCCTCCTATTTGTTCAAGAGGTCCCCTATTTGTCCAGGGGGCCTCCTATTTGTCCAAGGGACCTGTTATTTTTCTAGGGGGCCTCTTTGCCCAAGAGGCCTCCTATTTGTCCAGCGTGCCTCCTACATGTTCAGGGGGCCTCCTATTTGTCCAAGGGGCCTCCTATTGGTTAAAGTAGCCTCTTATTTTCCAAGCGGCCTCCTATTTATCCAGAAGGCTCCTATTTTTAGGGGGCCTCCTCTTTATCCAGGGGGCCTCCTTGTTCAGGGGGCCTCTTAATTGTCCAGGGGCCTCCTATTTGTCCAGGGGGCCTCCTTTTGTGAAAGGGGCCTCCTTTTTGTCTAGGTCTAGGACCTTCTATTTGTCCAGGGGGCCTCCTATTTTTGCAGGGGCCTCCTATTTGTACAGAGGGCCTCCTACTTGTCCATGGGGCCTCCTATTTGTCCAGGGGCCTCCTTTTGTGAAAGGGGCCTCCTGTTTGTCTAGGTCTAGGACCTCCTATTTGTCCAGGGGGCCTCCTATTTTTGCAGGGGGCCTCCTATTTGTACAGAGGGCCTCCTACTTGTCCATGGGGTTACTATTTGTCTAGGGGCCTCTTATTTGTCTAGGGCCTCCTATTTGTCCAGGAGGCCTCCTACTTGTCCAGAGAGTCTCCTATTTCTCCAGGGGACTTCCTGTTTTCCGGGGGCCTCCTACTTGTTCAGGGGGCCTCCTACTTGTTCAGGGGGCCTCCTATTTGTCCAACAGGGCCTCCGATTTGTCCAAGGGGCCTCCTATTTAAACAGAGAACCTTTTATATGAATATCGGACCTCCGTTTGCAAAGTAGCTGATGCGTCTCGGGGGCCTCCACTATTGGGGTCCCAAAATGACAATTGGGGTCCCAAATGTTCGCATTGGGGTCCCACATGGGACCTCGAAAGTATACAAAGTTACACCCATGATGTATAGTATATACCACTGCCTCGATGTATAGGCTATAGCCTGCAAGCTGGCTTTGGTACAAACTGCAAACATGTTAAACATGGTATAGGGCGGATTGTCGATTAATGTAAGCGAATCAGACGTTCAATTGACAATTTCCGATTCTTATTCGATAATTACGGCCAATTATATTTTATTTTAGGAAGTGTTACTAGGAACGGAGCAAAAAAATCTCATTTCTCCCCTGTCTCTTTACCTATCTCTCAAATCCCTTGCTCACTCATCTTTCCTCTCCATAGGCGGCGGAACGGGGAGGGCATCGGGGCACCGTCCCTCCCCCCCTTTGATTTTGGCATTTTAACATTAGCCCTATGGGCGTTGCATGGAAAGAATGGGACCAAAAGTTGGCAGTGCCCCCCCCCCCCCTTAATTGAAGGTGTTCCGCCGCTACTGTTCATCTCTGTAGGTATCAGTCTCCTTGCCGTCCTCCCTGAAATCTCTGTTAGTCTTTTCCTTTTCCTTCATTAGTCTTATCCTCCTTTCTCTCACCACCCCTCTCTCTCTCTCTCTCTCTCTCTCTCTCTCTCTCTCTCTCTCTCTCTCTCTCTCTCTCTCTCTCTCTCTCTCTCTCTCTCTCTCTCTCTCTCTCTCTCTCTCTCTCTCTCTCTCTCTCTCTCTCTCTCTCTCTCTCTCTCTCTCTCTCTCTCTCTCTCTCTCTCTCTCTCTCTCTCTCTACCCGTCCGTCTGTCCATCTCTTTGTCCGTCTCTCCGTCCGTCCGTCCGCCCTTCCGTCTCTCAGTCCGTCCATCCATCCGTCCGTCCATCCGTCTCTCCGTATGTTCGTCCGTCCGTCTATCTGTCTCCCCAGACCCCATCCGCCCGCCCGCCCGCCCAAGGCCCTAAAACGAGTCCTCAAATTAATAGGTTAGGAGCATATGCCCCCCGGACAGGAGCCTGAGGGGCATTCAGTACAAGTATGCCCCCCCCCCATTCAGACTTACACTTCTTACGCCTTTAACGAGGAACTAAATAAAAATTGATTAGAAAGCCTTCCTAGTAACTAGATACTTTTGTGATCAGAGTCGTTTTAGTAACCTCAATTTAGTTGTCATTGCCTTTATTTTGTCTAAAAATATGTTGCTTCTTACCACAAGGG